GAAATCTATAAAATGGGAAAAAATTAATAATATAGTGATATCTTGGCTAGCTGCTCCAATATTAGCTGGAACCTGTTCTGCCATAGCTTTTACTTTATTAAGAATATTAATTTTAAGAAAAAAGAATTCGTTTGATATAATAAAAAAGATGTATTGGTTTTTAATATTTTTAATTACCTTACCCTTTAGTGTCTTTCTAATATTCCATAACCCCGTAGTAATAAATACACAATGTGAAATGAAGAAAGACGGAAAGGTGGTTGTATCATCACCATGTTATATTGAAGACTGGAGTGCTGCTCATAGTTTTTATGCATCTATTATATGTATCATATTATCATCTATATTAACAGCAATAGGTTCTTTTATTATATATATTATATATAACAAAAGGATAAATAGTTACAATTTGAAGAAAAAAATATTTTGTGAAGAATTAGCTGATATAGAAAAGAATCCACAGAATAATTTCTGTGCAATAAATAACAGTAGTTTAAATTCTGTAGCATCAAATGAGACTCAATTAACACAATCAAATAATAATATAGCTAATGGAACGAAGCAAAACCAAGCTGTTAATATCAATAAAAGTAATAACAGTATTGTATTAGTATTACCAGATGACAAGAATATCAAGGGTCAACAAGATAATTGCAAAATAAATGGAAACGAGAAAACTGGAAATGTAGAAGGACATCATGTGGTACATATTAAAGATAGTACATTGGAAGAGAAGTCACATGATAATACATTAAAAAAGAATGTTGATAAAGTTACTAATATGAATGAAAATAATAATAAAAGTAATATTAATGGTAATAATAATAATGAGAACAGTGGCAAAGGAGGAAATATAAAAAATATGGAAAATGTTATCATAGAAAGTTTCGATCCACAAACAGAAATTGTATTTTCCTCTTTACAAATTATAAGTGCTATACTAGGTGTTGTGGCTCAAAGTGCAAATGATACAGCTAATGCTATCGGTCCATTTGCTGCCGTATTTAATACATATAATAATGGAATTACAGGGAAAATTAAAGTACAGTGGTATATTCTTTTATTTGGGGGGTTATCTATGTCTTTAGGTTTATCAATTATGGGATATAGAGTTATTAAGACTGTTGGTATGAAGTTAATTAAAATCACACCAGCTAGAGGTTTTACCATTGAACTTATTTCCGGTTTGGTTGTTTTATTTTTTAGTATATGTGGTATTCCGTTAAGTTCTACACACTGTGCAGTTTCTAGTGTTATCGGTTTAGGTCTAGTTGAAGCAAAAATGAATTCAGATAATAAAAAATATGCAAGCAAATCTATGGACAAAGATATAATTCAAGTTGACAAGGATAATAGTTTTACCTTCACTGAAAAAATGAAATATCCTTTTTCTTTTCTTAATACATCCTGTGTTAATCTGAGATTATTTAGAACAGTTTTTCTTTCATGGATACTAACTGTAATTTTTTCAGGTAATGAAAAAAAAAGAAAAAAAAAAAAAGAAAAAAAAAAAAGAAAAAAAAAAAAGAAAAATATGTTTACATATATATGTTTTGTGTGTGTGTGTGTTTCCTTTTTTTTAAATTATATATTAATAAGGGACAGTTTTGTTGATATAAATGATAAATGCATGTAATATAACTATACCTGATCCATACATATAAATATTTATATATATATATATATATATTTTTTTTTTTTTTTTTCAGCTACTGTGACCGCAGGTATTTACTCATTCGCTGCATATAGTCCATCTTACCTAATGAAGATGCAAACTGTTTAATTCGTCACATTATTTTTATTTATATGTATATTATATATAAATATATATTTCTTTATACATAATGTATAATTTCATTATTTTTGCTTCTTCATTAAATATTATAATATATATTTATAATATATATATATATATTCAGAAATAATCAGATATATTTTTAATTTTTTCCTTCTTTCTTTTTTTTTTTTTTTTTTTTTTGTTGTTTACCCATTTTTAATTAAAAATGAATTAAAGATTTATTGCTTGAATTTTTTTTATTTATTTATTTTTTTTTTTTTCTTTTATTTTTTTTTATGAAATATTTATTATTATATGATTATGCTGTTTATGCTAATTAAGAAAAAAAAAAAAAGAAAGAAAAGTTTATGTGTACATTATACATAAAATTTATTTAATCATTATATATATATATATATATATATTTATGTATACATATCTATATATATTAATTTGTACTATTTTTTCATATATTATTTATTCTATGCATTATATAATATATGATGTATATAATGTAATAAAATATTTTCATCCTTATATATATACATGAAAGCTGAGAGAGACATCAATTTATAGAACTGTATATATATATATATATATATATACATATACATATTTTTATATGTTCATTCATATTTTATCGTTTCATACATCTTTCTATATCTGTATAACTCATCCCGTTATATATTTGTTTATTCATATAAATCATTAATATTTTCTTCCTTTTATTTATGTATCTATTTATTCATTCGTTATATTTTTTTAATTAGTTATATATATACACATAAATAAAAAACACACCATCCTATTTTTATACATGAGTGACGTGAGAGACATTTATATATATATATAAAAATTTTTTTTTTTTTTTTTTTTTTGCTTTAATATGAAAAGAAAAAATGTTTATATATGTATACATATTTGTATATATATATATATTTTTTTTTTTTTTTTTTTTTTTTTGCTATTTAGAAAAATTCTATTACTATTATATATATAATTAATAGTGATTTAGTATAATTAAATTTTTTTTTTTTTTTTCTTATTTTTTTGAAATAAAAAGGTTATAATATTATATAGAAAATATTTCATAGATATATTAAGTTAATGATATTATTTATATTCATATGTATAGTTCTTGTATTATATGATAAAAATAGTTTAAAGAGAAAATAAAAGAATTATAAAGGAGTTGTCTACATTTATTTATTTATTATTTAAAAAATATATATTTAAAAGGAATAATTAAATATTTTTAATAGATAAAAATAGAATATAGAAAAGTTCTTCTTTTATTTTATTTTACTTTATTCTATTTTATATTTTGAATATACATTTTGTAATTTATCATAAATATATTTTAAAAAAAAATTAACAGATTGAGAATTAATATATATTAAATGATAATAACATAAGGAAATAATACTATTAATAACAAACAGGTCGTTCAAATATATTCCAAAAAGGTATAAGAACAAATAAATATACATACTCAATTAAAGAATTTTTTTATAAAACAAGAGATAATACATATAATTATGTTTATTTGTTTATTTTTATAGATTTTAATTATTAAATATTCTAAATAATAAAATATATATATATATATATATATATTACATACATATATTATATATAATATGTTAACCCTTTAACTGTTATTTCATTTATGTATATATATTATATATATATATATATATATATATATATAATATTACGACATAATATATTACAAAAAAAAAAAAAAGGATAAATATTTAATAATATATATCATAAATATATTGGAACAATATATATATAATATTATATACATATATTATATATATATATATATATATAATATTATATATAATTGTATAAATATATTTATTCAGAATTTTTTTTCTCTCTTTTTTTTTTTTTTATATTATTATTTAAAACAAAAATTATCTTGAAGCCTCTGTGGCGCAATTGGATAGCGCGTTGGACTTCTAATCCAAAGGCTGCGGGTTCGAATCCCGCCAGGGGTATTATAAAATATAAAAAAATATTATATAATTTGTATATCAAAAGTATAAGAAGCATTTTTGTTATTTTAAAAAAAAAAATTATATATATATATATATATATATATATTATTGGCTTATAACAAGAAAAAAAAAAAATGTTATAAATTTTATATTAATTAAACTCTTTTTATTTTTCTCTTATAAATAAAGGAATGTTTAATTTACAATTAATTTTAATATTGAAATGTTTTTGTTTCTCAGGGATTTTATACAATGTTATTCATATATATATATATATATATATATATATATATATATATATATATTATATATATGGAATAATATTTTGTGTGTTTTTTTTTTTTTTTTATTGCTTAAAAAGAACATTGAAAATTTTAAAAGGTGAACATTTTATTATTATAAAATATAGAGTATAATATTAAATATTTATATAATATATATTTTATAACTACAAATCCATATTAAGATGTTATTATATAACGATTTTATTTTAATATATGCTTGGGTGTTTTCGTTAGTATAATGCGTATATGTATAAAAAAAATAATTTTGTATTAAGATCTATCTATATTATTTAGAATATATATTAAATGTTCCTTTATTGAAAAAAAAAAAAAAAAAAAAAAAAAAAAACATATACATATATATATACATATATATATACATATATATATAATATAAAACTTTTTCTTTAAATGCTATTTAAGTTCTTATAAAAAAAAGTCATCACATTTTTATATCAACATAAAAAACAATTTCATTTAATAGTATTATTTCATCTATTTATGGACAATGATTTATTATTATCACACAAAAAATATTAAATGATATAAAAAATATATATATATTGTATTAATCATATAATTATAATAGTATATAATAATAACATTATAAAATTTTTTCTTTTTTTTTTTATAAAAGATAGATAATTTTAAAAATTATTATATATAAACTACAAATATAGCATAATGATATAGTGTTATTATATATATTATAATAAAATAATATATGTATGTACACAATTATTTATAAGTCCAAAAATAATATATTTTACAAAAAAAAGTTAAAAAATAAAAACATTTATATATATATATATATATATATATTATTCATTTTATATATATTTTTTTTTTTATCGTAGCCTTAAAAAGTTCATTCTATTTAAAATATATATATAATAATATAATTTTATAGGAAATATAAAAAATAAAAAAAAAAAATTACATTCCTTCTCGAACGTCATGTGTCATCCTTGCGCAGGGGCCATGCTAATCTTCTCTGTATCGTTCCAATTTTAACAAACGGCATCTCCGAAGAGAGCCAATATTATATGCTTAAATGAAATATATGCATATAGGAAAAAAATTGCATTTTGGTTACTATAATTATATATATATATATATTATATATATAATATATTATGTATATACATATACATTTTTTAATCATAATTTACTCATAATTCTTATTATTATGAAAAGATATATTACAGTCTTAAAATATAATAAGTTTATTATATATATATATATATATATATATATATATTTTTAAATATATGAAAAACTATTTTTCACATAAATATTTATGCAATTAAAAATTTAATAAATATTTAAATTTTTTTATTTTTTTTTTAAATGAATAAATATATTTATAATAAGAAAAAAAAATAAAAAAAAAAACATAGCTATTTATATAATTTTCTTTTATTTACCTGAACAGGCAAGAATTTTTTTTTTTTTTTTTTTATGAATAAAATAAATTATTATTAGTTTGTGTATATATTTCTTTTCTTAGTAAAAAGTGTTATATATTGTACTTTTTTACAATATAGTTCATATATAGAAGAAAAAAAAAAAATATATTATTGAAAACCTCAAGACTTGTAGAAATCCAAATATCATGAAATTGTTCTATTTATAAAACTTTATATAATTTTTCCTTTTAATATACACATAAAAAGAAAACATGTATATATATATTCATATATTGTTATATAATAACTACCAATTTAATAATTTATATCTATAAATAATTGTAGTACACAGAGCATATGATAGAATAACACAATATTACATATGTTCTCTTCTTTTATTATTTCTCCTTTTTTTTTTTTTTTTTTTTTTATTTATAAAAAATATTTTTAAAATTTATAACGTCTTTTAAAGGTTAATTAAAGAAAAAAAAAAAAAAAAAAAAAAAAAAAAAAAGAAATATATAAATAAAGAAAGAAAGGAATTATATAAAAAAAAAATACAAAAATTAAATAAAAAGATGCAATTATAAATAAATAGCATTAAAAAAAAAAAAAATAATAAAAAAATATACATACGCATTATATGTATAATTACATATGTATATTTATTTTATTTCCTTTTTAATTATTACTTTTTTATTAATTTTTAGCTTACATACACTAGAATGAAAACATAATAATAACATTTGCTTTCTTGAAACGGTTGTCCCTTTGATAATATATATATATATATATATATATATATATGTAAAAAATTATTGTAATAATCTGTGTTATTATATTTACCGTTTTACATTCTATATGTAGATGGTCTTTTTGATGCAAATTTCTTTCTATATTCCTTTTGTAAGGTTGGTAAATGCAATGCTGGAAATCTTAGTCTTCTTTTTAATAATTGTTTAATATGTGGTCTCCTGACTAAACTAGAACTTATTTCAGAGATTCTTATAATATTAATAGATGAGGCTCTTGCTCTGTGCCTACCAGCCATTTCAGAATATAATTGAGCTATAGCTCCTTCTTTGGTTGTATCTCTAAATTCTTTGTACATATTATGAGTACCTGTTCTACTATCATATCTTAATAAAACACCATAGTTCTTTACTCGTAAAGGAAACTTTTCTTTAATTTGTTCACATGCTAATAATTCGCCATTAGATTTTTTAAGTTTATTAATCTTTTTCATAAAGTACCAAAAGCGAGATTTTGCATTAGTATCATTCTTGGCAAATATACACATACGATAAACATTTGGATTCTTATCCTTAGCAGTAGGAACAGCTCTACCAACAATATGATATTGGTGTATCTAAAAAGGAACGAAGGGAAGGAAAATATATATATATATATATATATATATATATATATATAATATATGTTTAAATTTTTTTTTTTTTTTTTTTTTTTGATATATTTAAACTTACATTTGTGTTTAAAGATTTATCTATTTTTTTAACCATTTTTGTTTTTTTTAATATTATATCAAGCTATGACAAATTAAAAAAAAAATAAATAAAATAATATATAAATATATATATATATATTAGTAACAAAAATGTAAGAAATTATATGTTGATAAATGTATTTTTATGAAGAACATATACTAATAAAAATAATTCTTATAAATGTTATAAATATTTATTAATATTAAAAAAAAAAATTAATTTAATTTTATTTTTTCATTTTTTTTTTTTTTCTTACTTTTTAATTAAATGGGGATTTTTTCATATAAATTATATAATAATAAAATACATATATAATATATATATATTAATATTGTTGAAAACACAAATCTGAAAAAAATATATTATTTTAAAATATAAAATAACAAATCATTAATTTTGCATTCTTAAATCAAGAAAAAAGAAAAATAACTTTTTTATTATTTTTTTTTTTTACATATAAAATATTTGAGTATATATATATATATATCTATTTATTGATATAATATAATCCTATTTTTTTTTTTTTATAACAGAAAATAAAAAAAAAGGTATGTAAAATATTTTTCTTCAAATAAAAGTTATATATTTTTTTATACATATAAAAAATTGAAGCTGATTTTTTTTAATTAATATATATAAATATATAATAATATATATATGTATAATATATAATATATGTATATAATATATTTCTTTCCTTTGGTTTATTATTCTAAAAAATTGTTATAAAGAAATTTATATATGAGGAGGGAATATATCATATATTTATTATAATATATAAAATATTTTAACGATATTGAATGAGAATCATAGATTTAAACACATCATAATAATATAATATTTGTTATATATATTATACGTTTTTTTTTTTATAAACAATATTATCTATATTTGTTTTTTTTCTTTTATAATATATATTTTATCTATACATAATAAAAATAACAAATATATTTTAATAATATTTATGTATATATATATATATATATATAAAGCCTATATGCACCTTATAAATAAGAAAATTATATTATATTATTTTTTATATAATAAATAATTAATATATATATTATATTTATATATAAGTTGTATTATAAAAGGGGTGTTATATAGTAGTAGCTTATGGTATATAAAATTAGTTATTACCCCAGGTATTTTTTTGCTTTAAAGTTATATATATATATTATATATATATATTAAATATATAAATAAAAAAAAATGAATATATTATAAAATATTCCTTTTATATATACATACATACATAAATATATACATAGTATAAAACAAAAAAACTTAAAAATTATTAAAATTATATTTATAATATATAATAATATATATATATATATTATATAAATAATATTAATTTTATTTTATATATTTATTTATATATTAATTTACCTACATGTAGGTTTATACATAATATAATAATATTATTATTTATATATATATAATAATAAAAAATTTACAATTTGATAGGGGAAAAAAAAAAAATAACTTATTAAATAAATAAAAAAATATAATATATTTATATATAAGCTTTTGTAGTTTTATTATATGTTTTTAATATATTATAATATATATATATATAATATATATATAATTATATATACATATATAAAATATATTATTATAATATATTATATATATATATATAATATAATATCCATCTTTGACTAAATAAAAAATTCTTTTTTTTTTTTTTTTTTTAATTTGTAACACAAAATGATATTATATAATCCATTTTGAGGACTTTCATTTATATATATATTTTTTTATTTTTAATATTTAAGAAGAAAAAAAAAATATATATTTATTTATTTTATGATACAATTAAGTAGATATTTTTCATTTCTTTTTAATTTTAATATTATATATATATATATATATATATATATATATATATATAGATAGATATTAAATAATTAATTTTATTTTTATTCGTAATTTCATTTTAATATAAAGAAATACCATACGTTATTTTATTATTTTTCATCTTTTATATAACAATATAATTAACTTTATAAAATATGGTAAGAATGAAAACAAATTGGAATGATAAATGAAATATTTAATGAATTCTTATTTAATATATTATAATAATATAAAAAAAGAATATTACATATATATATATTAAGATATATTACTGTTGTTTATATTATTTTACATTTATAAGTATATATAAATATTTTATATTAAATCTAAATATGTATATGTATATATATATATATATATATGATTTTTTTTTTTTTTTTTTTTTTTTTTTTTTTTTTTTTGTAGGGTATCGCACTTAAAAATGTCGGTAGAATAAAAAAACATGGAAGGAAACACTTGGTTTCTAAAAACCCTTATCTAAGATTATTAGTAAAATTATACAATTTCTTAGCTAGAAGAACCAATGCTAATTTCAATAAAATAATAGCTAAAAGACTTATCATGCCCAAACGTTATAGACCCCCTTTGTCCTTATCTAAATTACAATATCACATGGCCAATCACCCAAATGATATAGCCGTAGTAGTTGGATCGATAACAGGTAACATGAAAAAGAAAAAATATATATACATATATATGTACATGAATTATATATTATTTATATTATATAATATATTACATGATGAATAAGCTTCTACGAATCACGACGGTCTTCTGACATTATTAATGGAGATGGTAGAACGTTCTGATCCACACATATATAAATATATAATTTTATTATATCAATGTTATGTAAATATGTATATTTGCTTTTTTTGCAAAAATATATATATGCGTAATTAGTTATGATATATTTATAATATATCTGTATGTATATATATTGTGAATATATTAATTTCTATTTTATTTTTTTTAGATGATAAGAGATTGTTTAGTTTGAAACAACTTAAAGTATGTGCTTTAAGATTTACCGAAACTGCAAGAAAAAGAATTGAAGATGCCGGAGGAGAATGCTTGACATTTGATCAATTAGCTTTGAAATACCCAACAGGAAAAAAATGTGTACTTTTAAGAGGACCAACTAAAGCAAGAACTGCTGAGAAGCACTTTGGGAAAGCTCCAGGTAAACCTAAATCTAAAGCAAGACCTTATGTACGTTCAAAGGGAAGAAAATTTGAAAAAGCAAGAGGAAGAAGAA